TCGGGTAGAGGGATTTTATGTCTAGGCTGGCAAGGATGTCGGTGTCGTTTAGTTTGATGTTTTAATGATGTCCACCAAGTGCTCTGAGTTTCTCACATGAGATTCTGCCAGATACGTCTCTGGTTGCATGATTTTGGATAAATATTTCTCTACATTTTGTGTCGGTGAGTTGATGGCACTCACTATTGGTCTTAGTGGATCGTCCCTCTTGTGAATTTTTGGAAGGCCATACATTTGCTGGACTTTTCTCGAGGTATGGTTTTCTGCTCGATTTCCCAACCTAGCTTGAAAGACTGGATTTTGGCCTTTGTAGTTTTCTCTAAATATGTCGTCGGGTCTCTGGCTGATGGTTTATAAGAACCGTCTTGGAGGATGTTCCTCATCTTTTTCTGATAGTCAGTGGTATTCATGACTACTGTTGCATTGCCTTCGTCTGCCGGTGTTATTATAATGTTCTTGTTCTTTTTCAAGTTCTGAAGGGCATCTCTTTCTTTCCTTGGTAAGTTTGATTTGGGTGGTTTTTTTGTTTTTAGGACATGTGCAACTTCATGTCGTATATCCTCTGCGGTCTCTGGTGGCATGTCTTGTAAGGTGGCTTCCAAACTGGATATTATTTCCTCATTTGGGACTGTTTTTGGTGTGATGGCAAAATTGAAACCTCTACTGAGTACGTGTGTTTGATCGTCGGTGAGAGTGTCATCCGAAATATTATAAACTACCGTTTTGGTTTCGGAAGTCGTGTTGGACTTGGTGGTATGTCCGAGATGCTCAAAGTTTTTCAAGTTTTTCTGTTTTCATTTGTGTGTTTGTTTGATATATAACAATTTCAATTATAAGACTAAAAATATGTGGAATTCAAAAAAATGTATGAATTTATCAATTGCCAAAAGAGAAGATTACTTAAATCTAAGAATGTCCTAAATCTACTGAACAACGAACTATTCAAAGTGAATACACCGAATAAATTTGGTAAATGTCAGTTTATAATTGCAGATCACTGTAATTCGAAAGACTTGAATATTTGGTCCAAACTTTTATTTTTTATGGTCGTGTTGAGTTCTTGGGTATTTTCATCAATATATGCATATATCATTTAGAAATGGTATAGGTAAATACCTTACTTTCCTCCAACGCTGGTGTGTGTGTGGTGTGATATTTTTGCGAATCTGGAACTCATGGATATCATACTAGACTTGGCTGTACAGGTAGGTTTTTTTACTGAATTTATTATTACAAATCAGTATTGACTACTATTCTGTTTACTTCTTANGAAGCCATTGTATGGCGAAACACGTGTTGCGTTTTTGTAAAACAATTTAGTGAAAATCTCACAATAAAGTGTTTTTGGAATACGTTAGTTATGGATTTTCATCAAGTATCGGCCGATTCCATCATATAGCAGAAGTTTTTCTTTCTTGGTGCGCAGAATTGAATAAATAGAGCTTTTCTATAGGTTGTTAGTAGATGAGCAAACTTGGTCCAAGGGCAAAATCACATGTATTTTCTTATGGTGCTAAATGTTTTGCAATTTTCATTACATCCGATTGGAACCTTGTGTGTTTTGAATGGACTTAAGAGGGTGGGAGAGAGAAACGTGTGACGTAATAGATGCAGAGAAGGATGAAATGGGTAACGGAGAGATTCAAAGAGCGTGTGCCCCCTTAGGACTCCTCCTCATCCCTCGGTCCTTTACCCCTGAGCCTCCTTGTCGCGTACCAGTCACGTGGTCCTAGTCGTCATTGGCCGCTGGGGGAAATTCAGTTAAAAAATCTACCGATATGAGAATTCAAGTCAGGTCGTTGGCATGGTAGACGTTGTCCTCAGCGTCGACACTAACGTGAGATGTTGGAAAAGATTGCGAATTGTTGATATTTATGACGGTTGTTTTGTCGACTGTCATCGACGATTCAGAGTGATGAATGAAAACACAGAAGGATGAACTGGGTATCGGAGATTCGAAGAGCGTGTTTGAATTATAAAAATAAAAAATGTGATCAAAATATTGGAAGCACGTAACTGATATATTGATAATGATGAATGAATGATCAGATTGAAGGAAAAAATATGGCAATGTGAAGGATATTCAGTGGAGTATACAGGGCGTCTCAAAATACATCGAGAAAAAAACATGACTTATGGGAAAATACATCATCTAAGGAAAAACATGACAGTTTTCTCAAAATGCATCAGGGAAAGAACATGGCGTCAATGTGTATAAAGTATGGCAAAATACATCATTCAGGAAATAAACATGCCGGTTTAACGGAAGTCTAACGTTTCAACGTGCGATCCTTCAGTATGTACGGGGTGTCTCAAAATACAACAGAAGAAAAACATGACGTCATTTTGTACAAGGTTGGCAGATACCAGACAGAAAAACAACAACTAACCTAGCTAATGCCGTGCAGAAAGCTGAAGTGAAACCATTAGGCACCTGTGCAATGTCTTCGATTTGGAAGAGTCGTCGCAAGTTATTTCTCACTGGGAAAATCTGAAATTAATTTCATTTGGCTGATACGACCAACTGATATACCGGTGCCTGTATACTCCACTGAATATACTTTACATTGCTGCCATATTTTTTCCTTCAATCTGATCATTCATTCATCATTATCAATATATCAGTTTCGCGCTTCCAATATTTATTTTCATCACATTTTTTTTTTATGTTCAAACACGCTCTTCGAATCTCTGATACTCAGTTCATCCTTCTCTGTTTTCATTCATCACTCTGAATCATCGATGCCTGTATACTCCACTGAATATACTTTACATTGCTGCCATATTTTTTCCTTCAATCTGATCATTCATTCATCATTATCAATATATCAGTTTCGCAATGGTGAAATGCTTACACGTTGTGTCCGGATAGCCTTGAATTTAAGAGATAAAGGCTTCGACAAAAATGATATAATAAGTACTTGTTCACCAAACAGTGAGAATAGCTGTCTGCCTACAATTGCAATACAATTTTTGGGAGCAAAATCTACCTATTTCGATCCAAACTTATCCCCTTTGGATACTGTTCACCTGCTTGATTTGATAAGGCCCAAGCTGATGTTCGTTTCTCAAGATGCATTGACTTTCATGGAAAATTGTTTGGCAAAGGCAAATATAGAAGTAGAAATAGTGGTAATTGGAACAAGTGTTAAGTATGAACAATTTTCGAAATATCTAGCGCAACATAATTTAGAAAATGAATTCACACCAGAATCCGATATAGACGACAGAGAAACAGCTGTGATAATGTTCAGTAGCGGCACCACTGGGTTTCCCAAAGGGATTTGTCTCAGCCATCGTTCTTTACTGTTTGAATACGATGAACTGATTGATCTTACTAGGAATGAAAATTTTGAAAAAAAATCTTGTGTTCTGCTGTGCTTCAGTAATTTGTATTGGATTAGTTCTTTAGGTTTCTTGATATACGCTATGCAGAGTGGATATGCTAGAGTTGTGTGCCATCGATTTGATGCAGCAGCTGTTTGGAAATTAATAGATGAGTTCAAGGTAGGTTCAAGACTATTTTATTGAAAATTCTTGATTTTTGAAAAATGTGTTGTTTTGAAACACCTAGTCCTAGTCCTAGAACCAAAAATATTTCGAATCGTTTTCGGGGCTTATCACGAAAGGGACATACTAACATAAGTTATGATTATTGACTGGTGTTAACACAAATTTTATTTCTGTTTCATGGGTTTTCAGTCTTTCACTAACTGAAAACATGATTATGAATTTCACTTTACTTATTCAAAAAATCATTGTGAAATTGTCTCCAGTGAGTTCACACAAACGGAAAAATATGCCAAAAATAGAAATTGAAATGAAATAATCAGAAAAAATTATAGTGAAAATTAACATTTCTGTTCTGATATTTTCAATATATTCCATACATCATTCATCTTCTTTAGTTTTCATAGATTTTGAATCTGTTAACATTTTTCTAGCGATTGATATAATGAACCTCTGAAAATTTTTGTATTGAATAAATGAATCACCTACCAATATTCAATTTAACCATGGTTGATGTTAGGATCATGTTTCATGGCATAATAGCGATTTATGCGTTGAAGAATAATACACGCTTTCCCAATATACAGATATCAATCTCTATATCTACATTGGAGTTTTCCTTTCAGATAAATTTGATATTTCTTCCACCCTATCAAGCCGTGGAGTTCTTAGCCCATCGTACAGAGGATGCTGATGCTTCTAGTTTGCAGGTGTTCCTGACAGGTAGTTGTTTTGTACCAGAAAAACTGATGAAAGATTTGAAGAAAAATTTACCTCAATGCAAGATCTTGAATGGCTATGGGCAGACTGAAATGGCAGGGGGAATAACCATATTTGATCCTTCAAAACCCGACGAACTGGTGATGCAGGAAAGAAAACCACAATCTTGTGGAAGAATGAGAAAGGAATGTGAATGGAAAGTGAGTAAACTTGAAAACCAGTTCAACAGAACCTAGAAAGAGAGAGAGAGATAGAGTAACGTAGTCAATGCTCAGGTTTATCAATCATTCTGTTTAACAAACAACTAGTTGATTCTAATATCCCAACAGTTTTGCAAATTTAACTCATTCCTCTTCAAGATGAGAATACAGCATCCCCTAACCTCGTAGGATTCGAATTACTTACATGATCCACTTGTGATTTCTGCCGGTAATGACCCAGAAAACATTAGGATCTACAAGAAATATTTTCGATGAATGAAAATATACATACTGGAGTCATATTTGAGAGAGTTGTTAACATACTTGGCCAAATTCAATATCCACTAACTGTAATATATTTTCATTACCTTAGTGTCATAACTAGAACAATGTCCATTCCATTCCATTAGGGTATCTTCTAACGATTGAGGTACTTGGGTGTTTTGTAATTTTTCCCCAACTGTCATTTTGACATAATACTGAACATACACATCTGTCGTTGCCATGAAAATATGAGGAAAATCATAGTTGTCCATATGAAGTCCTGTTTGTGTAGAATACATTCGAAATGATTTTTCTTTTGGACAGAGGTCATGATCAAATGAAACCGAGAGCCCCAAATACCAACAACGAATATTTTGTCAGTAAAGAAAGAAAACGTATCAATAACATAATATAATATAAAATAATGTAATTTCAAAAAATAAAACATCAGGTATGAACTGAATTTCAACAAAATTCGTAGCAAATATATCAGCGCATGTTCAGTAGTTCAACTACTGGAAAATTTTGAAATCAATATTCTTTATGTGAAAAGTTATGTCTAACATATATTGATATAGGAAAGAAAAAAGCCACACTGCTTTGAAACACATCAGACAAGTTTTGGAAAAATGAATAAGGATAATCACATTCGAATTGAGAAAGATTTTGCTCCTTGATTTAAATGAAACTTCTTGATCTTTCAACCAGATCAGTATAGAGGTAGGCAATCAAATCAGGTTCCAGACCAGATGAAGTGGGAGTTATTGGGACAAACAAAAACGGGCAAACAAAAACAATAGATTTGAAAAAACAAGATTATTCACAAATTTTTCATCCATACACAAATGGAAAAAAAATCCAAAACAACTTTTATGGTTACTGAAATGCACAGAAATCAGTTTTTCATTATTCTGTATAGCAACAGATATCCTTGGAAAACGTTAATCAACATAATGAACTCTGGGTGTTGGTTAAGCTGCTCAAATTGCAGCATGATGTTTGAATATTTGACACAAATGAATTTCATGAAATATGTATTTCATGAAATATCTGACATTTGCGTGGCAGAAACAATGTACATTCACCTACTTCAACAACCGAAAGATATTTTTAGTTTCAACTACGATTTTTTTCAAGCGACCTTTATTCTATCGACTGACAAAATTATTCAGTGATACCCACCTTTTGATATATGCTATTCAGGCACTTCCAAGTTGAGTGAAAATTTTCAAAGATTCTACACCTCAGTTGACTGATGATTCAAAAATAATAATGAAGTCGGGAGACATGAAATATGTCAAATATGAAATATCAAAAACTCAGTCTTCATTCAGTCAGTATCAGACATAAGCATATATTGCATATTTGGTAACTAAATCAAATCCTAAATATTTTCGAGGTTCTTGACTACCTCATCATTAGGAATAATGAAAATTGTATCACTCATTCTTCTCACGATTTTACTGATATAAGTGATTTCTTTATCAAAGGTAATTCAGAAGCCTATTTTGTACATGAAGCTATACTTAAAAATTACCTACCACCTCTTGATGAACTTCATTTCTGTTTTGAAATGGTTCATTCAGAAGATATTGAAAAAATATCAGCAGTATCAAGTCTAATAAAACAGGAACGGATGATGATATTGATTTGAAAATGCTCTCGGTGGTTCCACATCTTAGCGAAACAGTTAGAATAATGTTTGACATATCCACGGATATGTGGAGAATGTCATATGGTGCAAATGTCATGGTGCAGAAAGTGATAACCCAGCTGACTTGTCCCACTTTCAGCCTATTTAAAGATAAGTTATCCGTTCTAAAGTCATTGAAAAAATTATTCTGAGTCAATTCAATGAATGTTCTGTCAATGATAATATATTTTATCCCACTCAATCCAAATCAAATTTGAAATCAAAAAAATTTGAAAATTCTTCATTTCCTATTTCTCTTTATCTATATCTAAGGTCCAATGTACAGAGTATATATACAATATTTACATCTTTCTCACAAGAAGAACTGGGTGGAGGCATGGAAAGGGTTGGTAAAGGAAAGGTGAGAGTCAGCAGAAAGGGACTTCAATATTGAGCCCCAGGACATCCTCAGGGTGAAGTACCACCTAATAGACCCACGATAGGCCAATTGGAGGCGCCCTGCTGATGTCACGAGAATACGTTAATTATCTCAACCAGCTTTTCCATGAACTAAGCGCCATAGCATTCGTACCGTTCATGGAAGATATGTAGCATTTCATGAATCAGCTCGTGTCTACGGGGCTGATTGTGGTAACTACTAAGCGCCGTAACGTTCCTCGTCAGCGGGTTTTTCGGCAGAAGGAACTTGAAGAATATATATGACAGCCTCTTGATATATTCAGAGACCGTCTCGACTCCTGCCAGATCTAACAGAGCATTTAATGAAATGTATCTGTCACTGTTCGTGCAGATACGGAGCACATTATTCTGCATCGTCTCGACTCTCTGCAGAGGAGTCCTCTTGAGGCTGCAGAATACGAGACGAGCGTACTATATAGCTGGTCTGATTACTTGTTAGTAAATTAGCAGCTTGTTGTCAACACTAAGCTTCGAATTCCGTGCAATGAGCGGGTACGTGCGTTTAACCGCAGCACTCGCTCATTGAATCGCTAAGCTCAAATGTTCCTGAAAATTCAGACGCCTATACACGATAACTCCCTGATATCGCGCACTCCTCTGCTGGTCCACGCAATTACCCTCAACTGTATCAAAATCTATTAAGCCGTTATTAGAATAGTACGAACGAACAGACATACAGACAGCCACCAGTTAGATTTTCATTATATGTAATAATGATCCTTTATTTCAGGTTGTAGATTTAGACACTGGAAAGCCTCTAGGACCAAATCATGAAGGTGAGCTCAGAATCAAAAGTCACAAAGTCATGAACGGCTACTACAAAATGGATAGTTCTTCAGCCTTCGACGAAGAAGGATACTTAAAAACAGGTGATATCGTTCGGTACGATGAGGAAAAATGTTTTTATATCGTTGACAGAATAAAAGAAATATTCAAGTATAGAGGGTGGCACATACTTCCAGCAATGCTTGAAGAAGTTTTGCTCGCACATCCAGCAGTCAAAGAAGCTGCTGTAGTAGCAATTCCGCATAAAATTGATGGAGACCATCCAATGGGTCTTGTAGTTCTTTTCGAGGGTCATGATGACGTTACATCTGAAGACATTGAATCATTTTTCAATTCAAAGGTAGCTGATAGCCAGAAGTTGCGCCATGGGGTTCGAATCGTTAAGGAATTAGAGAAAACTGTCACTGGAAAGATTAAGAGGAGAGCTCTTTCTCAAATGATTTCGAATGGTGAAATATAGTAAGTATGTAACGAACTAGTATCACTACGTGATATATGTGGCTTTTCAATCGTAAATTTAGTAATTTCAAGAGGTTGGAAACGCATAAATGTCAATAATAACGTTTGTACTTTCCTAAACAATATTTATAATCATTTCTTTTCTTCAGACATTGTTCTGAGAAAAATAGAAACTTCATTAACAAAAACGCAACTATTTGTCATCAAATTTTCATTTCATTCTGAAACTGAATGAAAAGTGTTATATTTGTATGAAAAAATGGAAAAGAAAACAATTATTTTATATATGAAAATATGATGTTTTCTTCGTTTGTGAAACGATTGAGATGCAGGCCTATGATTTGTAATGGAAAAGGAACAGACTCTGTTGTTTTACTTTATTTGAGTAAAGCTTCCAGACTGACTTTCATGTTTCATTTAATTTACCTCGCCAACAGAACATCAGGTACGTAAGACACACATAGGATATATACAAGAAGAATTAGTGCTGCCTTACATCATTGACACAGTACGACAATAACAATGTTGCCAGTATCTAATGGTGTGATAACGAAGGAGAATTCGTAATCAATGAAATGATTATATGAAATATATCTAAGGGAAGGGTCAGCTCGACTGGCTAAGTTGAGGAATAACGTAGGGAAATCCAAATAATCATTAACTTTTGTTTTTGAAATATTATGATTGCATTGTAGTTACTAATTTTGTGACAATTGATTGGTAAAATAGTCTACTATTTCCATTGCAAAATTTTAATGAAACTGTGGAAATTACTACTCTTATTCATATAAGTTGAAGCTTCGAAGAGTAGAGAAGGTTCTGCTTACTTTCATTTCGATATATTCCACTCCGGCTTCACTTTTTGTTCTCATTTGAAATATTTAATATTGTCAATTTGATCCGGACTAATGCGATTTTGAAGCCATAAAAGTATATTAATATGCGGAAGATCTCGCTTTTGCCATTCCGTCGAATACATATAGCATCTCACTTCACCGAATATTTTCTCTTTTATCAACAAATCCATGACCTTTTTTACCTTTAATCGAAAGACACGCAAAAAAATATCGTATCGATCATGATATTTTTGTCCAGAAAGTAAGTGCTCATTTATGTCACTCCAGCGTGGGTTACATGTAAAAGTAATAAAGAGGTCGGGACGACCGCAACATCTAACATAGGTCATGGCCTCTTGCTTTTTTCGTGCATGTATCTTGGTCCATCAGTAAAAGATGATAGAAGTACTATTATTTTTCCCAGCTGATTTGCTTCAGTATCTTGCCGTCCGATTGCATCTCATGAATGAATATAATTATCAGCGCGCAATTTGGCTTGATTGTTTTCAATGTAGTTCAGTCTTTCAGTTTCTATTTTTGAGTATTCATCTACCAAATATTGACTAAAAAGAGCACGATAATGAACCAATAAGTTATCTTCTTCTTCTCTGATCATCATTCTGTATGAATAAAAACTTACAGCAGAGACTGGTTTTTTCAAGGGCAACTTAGTTGTGGGATCGCATTGTGGTATGTTGATTGAATAGCCACATGCCTCCAGCAAAACATCAACGGGTACTGCAGCGTGTCATGAGCTCGATGGATCTCACTGATACGCTGAAGTGAGTTACTTCGGCTCTCAAGGATGATGTATCTTTGGTCAAATTGCTGATCTTCCAATACAACAAACAGCCACTTAATTTGTCGTTGGTGCATTAAATCTGCCTCTGTGTTCTCTTTGTGGTTTTTTATCTGCATGTATTACGACCTTGAATGACTCTGAAGGCGATATTTTATCAATGGCTGTACACCTTATGTAACATAAGCTGCAATTGTTTGATTAAATTTGGTCTCAAGTCAGGAAATTTAGGACATCATCTTCTCTATCATCTTCACCGACGAAATGAATTTGCACAAACTGTGCATCCTGCCCAGGTTCCGGTAATATACTTCCAATTGAACGATAGACTTGTTGAACTTCCAAAGTTGGTGAAAAACCGTCTTCTTTCATTTGTTTTCCACCAAAAGAGGTCATTTGAAAACAGGCATTATATTTTCGGATATTATCCATGAAGTGTACATGATTTGGGTGTAAATCACCAACCAGACTGTAAAGTGGTTCAGGTGGTTGTTTAAACGGCTCAAGTTGTACTTTACCGTCGCTACAACACATGCCAGGTGACTCATCTTTCCACTTCAAGGCGTTACACCACAGACACTTGTACGTCATAGAACCTAAGACTACACTGCTGTCAGTTCCATAAGCAATATATCTGGGTCATACGCCAAACCCGAGACCAACTTTCTTCTCCATACACACTGAATTTTATTTTCTCTAAACCTTGACTGAATCACTCTATGCACATCGTTATTCCTGGCCTGATATAGTGCAGCAGATTGCCTATGATTTTCAGGGGTTGCAGCCTGGTAGGCGGCGACAGATTGCCTGTGTTGCCTGTGTTTTTCAGGGTGTGTAGCCTGGTAGGTGTCGACAGCTTGCCCCTGTACATCAGGGTTTTTTTTCTTACATTCAGGCATAACTTCACGGTGGGATTCAGTTAGAGTCTGTCCGTATTTTTTTTGTGCTTTTTTATTTGATTTCTTCATGTGTAATTAGTAAACCTTGCCCTACGTTTGTTTTTCTTCTTTTCCTACTAATGTCACAGACTCAGATTGAGACAACAAACTTCTTATCAAATTTTCATCATAATTTATTGAAGATACAATAGGTGAATGTTTACGCTCTGAAACAGGTACCTCCTGACAACCTTTATCAACTTTAAGTTGCGAAGGTGTATCGATTCCAAAATCATGTTCTTCTACAGCTACCTCCATACGACGCCGAGTAATTTTCTGTGCTGCTATGGGAAAATAGGCATCAAAATGCCTACTGGACAAATCTTTGTTGAATCGTAATCGTCTTACCTGATTGTCGTTAGATTCAGATTCCGTATACAGGGTGTCCCTGGACTTCTTCTTTTCCTCTCGGTAATGTATAGATGGGGTCAAAATATCACCAGTACTTCATATAACTTTTTTTCCTAAAATCCTTCGTTACCAAGTAACGGGCCCTCGAAGTTACGAAATGAAAAATGTTTTTCTTTGATAACTTTTCAAGTGAATATTCAAAATCATCCAAATTTTGGTAATTGACTAAACAA